AAATAAATAAAATCTTAAAAAAAAAAAAAAAGGAAAAGAAAAGAAGCCTAACACCAAAATATACTCAACCATTATTTAAAAACGCAAAATAATCAAGTACCATTTGTCATCTAACTGCATAGATGAAAAAATGTGAAAACACCCAGTACTGCCAAAACTGAGAAAATGAGCCCCCTCCTAAAATTCTGATGGGATTGGGATGCCTGGGTGGCTCAGTTGGTTGAGCGGCTGCCTTCAGCTCAGGTCATGATCCCAGCGTCCTGGGATCGAGTCCCACATCGGGTTCCTTGCTCGGCAGGGAGCCTGCTTCTCCCTCTGCCTCTGCCTCTGCCTCTGCCTGCCTCTCTGTTTGCCTGTGCTCGCTCACTCTCTCTCCCTCTGTCTCTGACAAATAAATAAATAAAATCTTTAAAAAAAAAAAAAAAATTCTGATGGGATTATAAATATGTGTAACTTTTTTTTTTTTTAAAGTAGGAGCCCAACACAGAGCATGACCTCAGGACCTGGAGATCAAGACCTGAACTGAAATCTAGAGTAGGACACTTAACCGACTAAACTACCCAGGCACCCCAATACAACCTTTCTGAGAGCTATTAGACATTACCTACCAAAATGTACAAATCCTCTGATCCACTGATTCTAAGAATTTATCCTACAAAAGTATTCAAGAGATGCATGGACAATCCTGCAGCTTAGTCCATTAACTGGTAAACTAAATAATCCATGTAGATCCACTCAATAAAAGATTACACATGCTGAAAAGTTAGATCTGTAAGCAGTGATGGTAGATACTGGAGATGCCATCTCTAAAGTGAAAAAAATTTCATTTATCCAAACCAGGATAAAAATACATTCTGTTGTATGCATAAAAGCATACTAAATTCACTTCTGAAAATCAATCTACTACCTAACAGTTGAGGAAAAAAATTTATTAAATTGATAAACATTAATGTCAGGCACACATGGATTCCTTCCTAACTCCAGCACTTTGGAGCACATTACTTACCTCTCTCAACCTCAGTTCCCACCTTTGTATATGGGAGACAGAAAACAAAGAATTTACCTCTTGTGTTTTTTGTTAGCACTCACATGAACTGTTTTATACAATCACTGGTACATGATGACTCAAAAAAAACAGATTATTACCATGAGCAAGAAAGAAACCCTCTCTCTATTCCTTTATTGTCTTTATCCTTTTACATACTTAAAATCTTTTTCTGGATTCCTTTAAAAAATAATTCAGCATTTTTTCTTGGATGCCCGCAGTATGAATCTCTATTTAACAAAAACTCTATGTGTACCAAACAAGAAATTTCAATGAACTCCACTACCAGTGCTGACTGAATTTTCAGATCTTCTCTTAGCCTGAACTTTAAATACACTTTTTCAAAGCAAGCCAACACTGTTTAAACATTATTTTTAAAAATGTGGCAAAATATTAATTACTATTTTTTAGATATTACCTTGAAAGAATCCGTAATGCACTAATGCTACACTCTAGCCATAGAAGTAATTACAGAATACTGAATATGAGTATGAATTTACTGTAGTGGAACGTCATCATAACAGGTCTGTATTACTATGTACTTAAAAAGAATAAAAATTTCTTTATCTTCTATGTCGTACCACACACATATTTGCTCTTTTAGTATCACGCCCCTGGAATCAACCACCTCCCCCCTCCCTTTTTTTTTCTAAGTAGGCTCCACACAACCAATTTGGTTGGGGCTTGAGTTCACCACCCCAACACCAAGAGTTACAAGCTTTTCCAAATAAGCTGCAGGTGTCCCAGGAATCTTCCTTCTTCTAACAATACTATGAAAGGATACCTCAACCTGATATCTCAACCTGATTACAAGAATCGATTTATCACCCTTCCGAGGGTAAGATGGCCAGAAGGAGAAACATCTAAAACGAGGTTATCTAAACTTTTCCAGTACCTACAACCATTTCAGTTCAGTATTGCTTCAATAATAAAAATGTTATTACTGGGGCGCCTGGGTGGCTCAGTGGGTTAAAGCCTCTGCCTTCGGCTCAGGTCATGATCCCAGGGTCCTGGGATCAAGCCCCACATCAGGCTCTCTGCTCCACGGGGAGCCTGCTTCCTCCTCTCTCTCTCTGCCTGCCTCTCTGCCTACTTGTGATCTGTCTGTCAAATAAATAAATAAAATCTTTAAAAAAAAAAATGTTAATACCCAAAATGCAACTGACGATCTATCAAAGGATGATAGTATCAGTAGCAATTTACATTTCCTAATAGATTTATTTTTTAAAAAGACTTTATTTTTAAAAATAAATAAATATTTTATTTCTTTATATGAGAGAAAGAGAGAGAGATCACAAGTAGGCAGAGAGGTAGGCAGAGAGAGGGGGAAGCAGGCTCCCTGCTGAACAGAGAGCCCATCAGGGCTCAGCCCCAGGACTCCTGAGATCATGACCTGAGCCAAAGGCTTTACCCACTGGGCCACCCAGGAGCCCCTCTAACTAGATTTTAAATAGAAGACCACACAAGAAAATATCAGATACCTATGTGTATACAAAATATTATGTAAAGTTTACTTCTTTAAAAAAAAGAGTTTATTTATTTATTTGACAGATTACATGTAGGCAGGGAGGCAGGCAGAGAGAGAGGGAGAAGCAGGTTCCCTGCTGAACAGAGAGCCTGATGTAGGGCTCGATCCCAGGACCCTGAGATCATGACCTGAGCCAAAGGCAGAGGCTTAACCCACTAAGCCACCCAAAGCGCCCCTAAAATTTACTTTTTATTAGGTAACAGCTCAAATGTCAATGCCCTATGCCGTATATAATCAACCACATGCAGTTTAAAATTTCACCACATGATGGGGCTAAAATTCTACACACCTCAGAAAACTACTAAAGTGCACTTCTAAAAGTATTTTTACTTTTTATTTCAAGTCCTCATATCTTCAAACAATAAATAAAGACTTCCATTACGTTGAAATAGAGAACCCCACGGTAAATTAATGTCTGTTCCATTTACTCAAGTAAAATTAAAAGGGCCCTGATGGAAAACAAAAGGTTAATTATGAATGAGAACCTATGAATAGTAATTTGGAGACATGAAAGGTTAAGAAGGAAGGTGTAAGAAGTTATTACTAAAAAGTCTGTATTTATCAAAATTACATTGGGTAAGGTCTAAAGAAAGAATTTCAAGTACTGTTAAGAGTTCAAATAAATACCATTTCCTGTAGGTAATTTAGAACAGATCAGAACAGATTTAGAGGTGGCAATCCCAATTCTCAAAATCATCATTCATGAAGACCTACATCCAGATCAAGGGTCATCACATTCTGGAAATAAGGATTTCATCACATAAATAGTTCATCTTAAATCAACAGTACATCTTAATCAACCTCAGATTAACATCTGAATGAAGACAAAAATTATTCTCAATCTTATGTTTTGTAACCAACTTTCCATGTATTGCTAATTTTTTATCAATCCATTTGAAAATGAAAACAAGTCTTATACCTATTTCAGATAAAGTAGACAGAAAAAAAGAAAGGCGGGTAGCAGGAAACTCATTTAAGTCAAGCTCTTAAGTAGGCCTGAAAAAAATATAAGCCTGCTAAAGGGCTGGATTAGAGCAGCTTGGTTTAATCAGGAAGGGGAAGTAAACTGCAGAGACCTACACCTAAGGGGTAAAAGGAGCAACCAGAGAAACTCTAAGAAGTCATCTCAGCAGTTTAATCAATATAAGTCACCATTTTCAAACAATTTCAAATCCCACTGCACAGGCTATGAAACGAGATATTTAATCATTTGACAGCATTCCAAAATGAGTTCTATGTAAAGAGTACAGAATAAGAAATGCATCCTGGATTCTAGTTTAGGAGGCTCACAGTAATTCTATGAAAAACAGGCAAGTCAATTAACCTTCCAGAGAATCCATCTGTACAAAATTATGGGCCAAAACTTGGGCCAATTTATTATCATCTGACAAGTCCTTACTGGGGAAGGACTTTCCAAATTATAAAAATTGTTCCCTTAGGAGTTGCTTTTAACAAGCTTTTTCTGTAAGAACTGCCTACCCCCAAAAGATCCTAAATGAACTCTTTAGCATGGTAGAGCATGATTAATAGGCAAACAGATTAGGACACCTGGGTGGCTCAATCAGTTAAACTGCTGCCTTCGGCTCAGGTCATGATCAGAGAGCCCTGGGATCAAGTCCCGCATTCGGCTCCTTGCTCAGTGGGGAGCCTGCTTCTCTCTCTGCCTCTGCCTGCCACCCTGCCTGCTTGTGCAATCTCAATCTCTCTCTCTCTCTCTGAGAAATAAATAAATAAAGTCTACCAAAAAAAAAAACAAAAACAGGCAAACAGATAATCAAGACTCTCCCTTGATTCCTCTGCGCTATGTAAAAAACAAAGTCAAAGATAGCTATTAAGCCAGTTAGATCGAGTCTAACCAATTCAAGGTCTCTGTCTTAGCAAGTCTTTAAGTGGAAGATAACTGCAATGCTTAGCAAGTCTTACACAAACTACTGCTTTGATTTTCAAGTAAAATGAACATTTATTAGATTACTGAGGATTGATTTATAACAATGTTGCAAAGTTTTCATCACTCCTGAAATTTTAATGATGTGCCATTCAACATCTTATTTGTCTGAAAAAGAAATCTTCTGGGTAGAAGCAAAGACCTCAAAAACCCTTGGAATTTTCTTTTCATGTATTACCTACAGAACAGGAAGTAAACCAAGTTATTATCTGAAGAACGGTATAAAGTTAAGATGCAATGTATCTAACAGGTTTGCATTGGTTTTGCATTAAAATGTGTGAAACTCGGTTAGTGCAAAATACAACTGAAATAAATGGTACAGTACGCTGATGGAAAAAGTCAACTTTTATAATAACTTAAATAACTTAGATAATACAAGAAAATTTTCTCTACAAAAATATTAAGGCTTCATGTTTCAACTACATTTGTGTACAAGAACAAATGAGAAGCAGACACAAAGACAAAAATACAAGAAAAAGTACCTTTGTTGATGATGGTGGAGTAGGAAAATTAAGCCAGGCTGGAGCAAAGTCATGCTGCGCCATTTAGGTCCAGTCTCTCCAACTCAGTGAAACAAGGCTTCAACACCTCATGGCAAGTCCCTGTCATATAAAAATGTAAAGAAATTAGACCTGGAGCTCCTTGCCAAAATTATCTTCTCATGCTCTATCTCTTCTAAATGACAATGATTTTACTACTCTAAGATTCCAATTATAATAAAATTCTAAAATAGGCAAAAAAAAGAGCAAAAACTAAATCACTGGAGTGCACAAGGAGAGGAGAGAGCCTGTGGGCTAGGGGTATGAATGCAAAGGGAAGGTTATTCTTGAGGTAATGGGGTTTTATCTTGATTGTGGTTATCAAAATGTACACATCTGTCAAAAATCAAATTGCTGGGGTGCCTGGGTGGCTCAGTGGGTTAAGCCTCTGCCTTTGGCTCAGGTCATGATCTCAGGGTCCTGGGATTGAGCCCCATGTCAGGCTCTCTGCTCAGCAGGGAGCCTGCTTCCCTCTCTCTCTCTCTCTCTCTCTCTCTGCCTGCCTCTCTACTTGTGATCTCTATCAAATAAATAAAATCTTTTAAATAAATAAATAAATAAAATCAAAGTGCACACTTAATATTGGTTAATTTCACTACAAATAGTCTCAGTAAGCCTTATTTTTTTAAATTACAAGTTTCATCACAAAGAGATATCAAGTGTCTCTAGATGTGACAAATTAGGATGCACATTACACCATCTATAATGTATCCTCACCCCCACCCCAGATGGAACCTGGAATCTGATCTAACTTTCACAAAGTTCAACACAGAGAAACAAATTAAAGGAAATCTGAGGGAAGTAATCCAGCAAATCCGTATCAGAGGATACTTGACAGATGAAATGATCGTTTTTTTCCCCTCAACAAATAAATGGCTTTCAATACGCAGATCAAACACATGTGGGCCTTACAGAGATCCTTACTCCAATCAACCAACCTTTAAAAAATGAAAATTAGGAAACAATCAAAAATTTAAACATGAACAGTACACTTAATGACATTAAGAAATTATTACTCATTTTAGATGTGACAATGGGAGTGTGATGATGGTAAATAAAAGACTGAAGCCTTTACAATTAAATTACACTGACGTATCTGGAATCTGTTTTAAAAACCAGATAATGCTAAACGGGGATAACTGAAAAAAGGCTGCACATGTTATAAATGATAGTACAAGGAGATGCGTAAATACTCTTTTCTCTAGTTACATGTATGTCTGAAAATTTCCATAATGAAAAGGTTCATTGTTTTTTAATTATAACCATCACAATAGGTATCAATATTTTAGGCACTAGAGCTTTTCTGCATTCTAAATTTAACTTTTTGGGAACTTCTATCAACTACATCAGTAAGTTTCAAATTTCCAGCCCAATCTTAAACAGCAACTTCATAGAAGTTTTTGGTTTTTTTTTTTTTTTTTTTTTTTTAATGAGGCAGAAGCCAACTGAACTATACTCATTTTTTTTTTAAGATTTTATTTGTTTATTTGAGAGAGAGAGAAAGTACAACCACGGGGAGCAGCTGGCAGAGGGAGAGGGGGAAGCAGGCTCCTGGGGAGCAGCTGGCAGAGGGAGAGGGGGAAGCAGACTCCCAGTGAGAAAGAAGCCCAATGTGAGGCTCGATCCCAGGACCCGGATCAAGACCGAAGCGAGAGGCAGATACCTAACTACTAAGCCACCCAGGCGCCCCAACAGTATTCATTTCAATACAAAGCTTAAGACTATCAGTCAGTGAAGGAATCAAATTTTCTGTGCATCGTAATGTCTGAGTTTATTAGTAACAAATATTTTCTATTTACAACTGCGTAATCTCAAAAGTGAAATTTTAAAAAACAAAATAATGCCATTGTTAATCTTCCCTTTTCCAAATTCTTTATTTTTATTTTAAAGATTTTATTTATTTGACAGAGAGAGACACGGCGAGAGAGGGAACACAAGCAGGGGGAGTAGGAGAGGGAGAAGCAGGCTTCCTGGTAAGCAGAGAGCCTGATGCAGGGCTCCATCCCAGGACCCTGCATCATGACCTGAGCCCAAGGCAGACGCTTAACGACTGAGCCACCCAGGCGCCCCTCAAATATTTTCTATGACACAATCCTTTAACATCTTACCAACTTGCTAAAATACTTCCAAGAAAAATTCTCAAATATTATAGAAATATTCTATTTATACTACCCCAAACCACAGATATCTATTTAACAAAAGGTTAAAAGAATGGCCGGATACAAAAGGTTAACTCAACATGGTAATGAAAATGTTTAAATGGTATATAAGCTTATATGAGCCATGAGCAGGTGGGAAAACCTTGATACAATCTGAGTAACCTGAGACAAACAATTCCAGTAATACATTTATGAAACAAACATTGAGTGTACCCAATTAAAATAAACCACATAAAAATTCAGGCACTCTATAAGCTCTAATTCTACTACCATCTTACACTACATTTTGAAGTCTTCAGAAATTAAAATGGAAACTAAATGTTTCTGAATGAATAAAGGATTTTCATTATCTTTTGACATGAAGTTACTAAGCTCCTTTGCGATGTATGTAATAGGATGTCACTCTTCAACAAGTTTTTGTTGGAAACTCTTCAAATAAGTTTCAATAACTAAATGGAAATGGAAAACCGTTTTTATAGTTTGTACGAAATAAAAAGACAGACATTGATGAGATTCTAAAATAAAGTTTATCACTTTAAACAATAGTCAAGTGATAACTTATAAACTAAAAACAATCCCTAGAGTCAAATCACTAATATTACCTATGCATTTCTGCAATGTCTTTAGAATTTTTAATTTAAATTTACTTTTGAAAAAATAAAGTATGAATAGCTAATGGGAAAAGTTCTCATGCTCTGAAAAAAAGTAAAGAACACTATTAGCTAATATTAAGGCATTTATAGTGTGAAAAAATCACCATAGGGCACCCCAAAATATGATACTTTAATGCAAGAATAGTTCTGAGCTGAAGGCATTTTAATTCCTGCAATTCCTTATCTATCAAAAAGCAGAGCCTCCAGAAAGAATTTATCAGTTTCCTCCCCCCGAAGCAACTCTTCCCTACAGATACACACACAAAATCAGCACCACACCCAGACATTGCAACAAACTATCATTTCTCCCATCAATTCTTCTAAGGGCCCATTTACCTGTATCTTTCCAAAAAGTCATCTGTTTTTCCATGAAGTGCCCTTCCCTGCCCCCCATGTAATTAGGTAAAGAGTTGGCAAATTCTAACCACCCCTGAGTTACTGGGAGGTGGTAGCACACTCTAATAAACTTCTATTTGTTTTTTCTTGTTTAATCTTTTCTTTTATCAGTGTAATTTACAGGGCCCCCCCCAAGCCAGGGAATCTAGAAGGATAAAAGAAATTTTACCCCTTACCTGTATAAAGCCAAGTTAAACTTTGAAAAGTACCACCCTATCACTTTCTTTTAACTACACGTGGTGCCAACCATATTCTATCTTCCTTTCCCTGTCTAATATTAGGAGCAGAACTGTGCCCCCCCAACACACAAATTCATAGATCCAGGTGGCAACTTCCCCACCTCTGAACAGAACCATATTTGGAGATAGAGGCTTTAATGAGATCATTAAGTTAAATGAGGTTGTCAGGAAGGGCCCCATTCCAATCCTATGTCCTTGTAGGAGGAGGAAATTGGGACACATTAAGACACCAAGACTGCACAGAAAAGAGAAAACGTGAAGAGGTAGCAAGCTAAGGAGAGAGGTATCAGAGGAAGCCAACCATGCTGTCATCTTGATCTCAGAATTTGAGCTTCCAAAACTATGACAAAATCAATCTACTTAACCCAATCAGTTTGCAGTATTTTTTTACGGCTTCCCTAGAAAACGTTAAACAAAACAGAAGGCCCAAAACTGTGTGACCTCTCCTAAGCCCTGCATCAACCAACCAAAACTTAATACCTAATCTGATTACACTTTAAGACCCTCCCAGAAAAAGGGGCACATGAATGGCTCAGATGGTTAAGCATCTGCCTTCCGCTAAGATCATGATCCCAGGGTCCTCTGATCCAGACTCGTGCCCAGCTCCCGGCTCAGCAGGGAGTCTAATGCTTCTTCCTCTCCCTCTGCCCCTCCCCTACTGCTCCCTCACAACAAGCTCTCTCCCTCTCAAGTAATTATTAAAAAAACAAAAACAAAAAAAAGCCCACAACCCTCTCAGAAATGAAATCTTAACTGGTCAGTCTGTAATTTCCTGGTCAGCAGTAATGAGGTAATCACCTGACAGACCCCCTCCACCATTTCCCAATGAAAGATGACATAATCAATCCACTTCTTCCTTGTCCCTGGCCCCTTCTGCCTATAAAAGCCTCCCATGTGTACAGCTCCTTGGAGCTCCTTTCTATTTGACAGACAGGATGCTGCCCCATTCATAAAAGATTGAATAAAATCAATTTGATCTTTAAATTTACTCGATGAGTTGTTTTTTAACACAGACTAATACAAACAAGAATATTAGAAATACACTCATCAAAAATTTGTATGTATCAAAAAAAAATTTGTATGTATCAAAGGGGACTTACAGGAGACTGCCAGGAAGGGGGGGTGCAAATTAGCAGTCCTATTAATGGTAATTCCAGGTTATTAGGAATCTTCCACCAGATTCTGTTATAAGGTCTGATGGTACCATATGGACATAAACAATGAAGATTTTAAATGCTGATAGCATGAAAATCCTAATTTCAATCTCAATCTATTTACAACCCATTCATGAATAAATGCTTGAAGTCTAAAACTCAACTGTAAGAAAATTCCTAAGGGGAAAACTGGTTCTGAAAAATACTGTACATGTGCACTGTACAAGTGCATGTGCCTCACTTAAAAAAAAAATCACTGGTTAATTAAAAATCCAAAACAGAGTTCTTCAGATTGAAAAATGCACTTTGGGACGCCTGGGTGGCTCAGTTGGTTAAGCAGCTGCCTTCGGCTCGGGTAATGATCCTGACATCCTGGGACGTCCTGGGATCGAGTCCCACATCGGGCTCCTTGCTCAGCAGGGAGCCTGCTTCTCCCTCTGCCTCTGCCTGCCACTCTGTCTG